AGTCACGAAAGCTAGCCTTAGCTAGCTGGAGTTGCTCTTGCTTTAGCAAGTTAAGTGACGGGGTGGACGCACCTCAGAAACCTCAAATAATTGATTAAATCAATCTTATGGCCCCCCCCCCCCCGCGGTTCGACTCCCCCCTGCGCGCGGTGAGCGGGACCACCAAGCAGCTGCAGCACACCAAGCATCTGCAGCGCCCAGCGCAGCAGCGGCAGCAGCAGCAGCAGCACCAGCAGCAGCAGCAGCAGCAGCATACCCAACGCCGCGGCAGCAGCAGCCGCAGCAGACCACCCAGCGCCAGCAGCAGCAGCAGCAGCAGACGACCCGGCGCCTGCAGAGCACCCAGCGCAGCAGCGCCCAGCGCAGCAGCGGCAGCAGCAGCACCAGCAGCAGCACCAGCAGCAGACCACCGGAAGCCCGGCTAGCTTTCGTTCACCCCCTCTGGCCTCAAGTAAAGCAACTTCCCTTTCAGATCCCATAAAGACAATTCTTTGTATAGTCTTTGACTTGCAGGGTATATGGCAGCTAATTGAAATGCGTGAAATGTGTCTCCAGACATCGGGTCTCTGACTTGGTTCATCCACCGCGGTTCCACATCGCACAGACTGCGGGGCAAAACTCTGCATTTCGCTGAGGGGTAGGGTGTGCCTCATTCCCTGCATATATGTATACCTGTAACAGTAGGTACACCCTGACCCTGGAAGACAATCCCATGGATCCTGAAAACCACTGGTTAGAGGAAAACACCCAACACCAGGGGGGCCAGGTCGTCAGGGTCTATGTTAGTTGACTCGGCATCCGGGTCTTTACTCCCTTCGGATGTGGCCCTCTCACCTTCGAAAGCCACGGCGGCCGCAGAGCATTTCCGCCCTCTCACCTCCAGAACGGTGTTTCAAAGGTCTGTCACGCCCTGGAAGAGGTCCACATGGAACCTGAAAACGGCGCCCGGCTTGTAGAGGAAAATGGTCTTCCAGTCAGGTCCATCCCATCAGGTTCCATGTGGGGCTCGGGACCCGGGGGTATCAACAATCGAATCTGCCAGCAGGTGAGCTTCTATTTCTGTTGCAGTGCGATCCCTGCACTCCGCGGGTGCTTGAGGACGACCAGAAACACGGCGGGAGTCGGAGACGTGTTTGGTTCAGCTAGACATGGAACTATATACATGATACCATAGAATCCAATACTTGACTCTGACCCTCCCTCCAACAATCATGTTTTGGTAGAGGGAAGTATATAGTCTTCCCAGGGGCCATGCCATCCACTTCCAATTGTAAGACACCGCCCTTTGCAGCCATCGATCGTTTGGTTTTTTCAATGACAAGGGTCCTTTTTTCAAGACAGGGATATGTACAATGAAACCTCCTGATGCTGGGCGAGTGTGCGCCACAAAGCCACATGTTGATAATGTTATATATATATATATTTATTTATTTACATTGTACATATATGGCTGAGACCCACTGATTTGGAGGAACCCCACCATCGACGCCTTGTTCGCGAAGATCATCAAGCTAGAAGAGGACATGGGTTTTTCTCCCGAGGTGGCTCGAAACAACTTGTTCGACCCTGTGATCCCCCAAACCGTTTGTGTTTTTCCTCATCGCATGGCCCTAGCACCGCACGTTGTTGGCACCAGACATTTGCGTACTGGGCAGCGAACTGCAGCAGTTCTTGCTGAGGGATCTATGCCTTGTACCTACCACTAAATCAAAAAGATAAATAGGTCTTGAGAGACTTGAGAGGCAACATTTCCCTACGATGTTAATGACCAAGGGACCAGTAGTGTATCTACCTATATACCCACTTGCACATCACACAGCAAACTGCCACCCACGCACTGAACCTGGAAAGAAGGCATCTCAGGCATAGTCAATCATGGCCAAACCCTGCAAATGGACTGACGAACATTCGCGACTATGTCATTCTGCACTGACGACCTTGTCCGGGGTGTGAAATATGTTTGAGGATGTTTGAGGTATGTGGATGAGTGTGGGATGTATTTCCCAAGATCCTGCCTAAAGTGCTGTGCAGTTGACCCGCTCATTCCATGATTCTTCCAAGACATTTCAGAAAGGGGACAACATTGACTGAGCATCGACCGCCCCAAAGGTGTAGCGTGTGCACCCATTTGCTGGCTAAAAACTTGCAGGATTGGAGTCCATGTCAGCATTTCAATTTCACCGGAAGGATAGATGTCAGGTGTCAAATGTCAAGAATTTATACACTGCATGGGTGGTGGTTTCAGATATGTTTAATTTTTGCCTGGGATGATTGAACCCACTGATGAATATGTTTTTTCAAGTGAGTTCAGAACCCACTGACTAATATTTGTTCAATTGAATTAGAACCCACCAACCATTACATAGTTAGATACATACATATGTACTTAATATTTTCTTACATACTTGCATATATATATATATATGCATAGATAACATTAAAAATAAAAGAAAAACACGTTTAAATATTGTATAGATGTTTATATGAATGTCTAATAAAGTATATAATGGTTTTGAATAGCTTAATATAGTATGTATTATTTTCTATTGAATATATATATATATACACATCATGAGACGTGGACTGCGGATGTTTGGTTGCTGGAGCTCCCTGCAGGAGCTCCATTCTCCTTTGGCACTGGATGTCTCGTTGGAGCAGACCTGGCTGGGCCGTTCTTTGGAGAACCTCCTGCAGTGTCCTGGTGAGAACGGATCTGGAGTCGAGACTGACAATAGAGCTTGGTGGCACCTACCTGCTTAAGAACCTTTTGTGCCGTCATACCATGGTGTCATGACAACTTGTGTGAACCTTTTCTCTTGGTGTCCAATGTGCCACCACGAGAAAGATATACCCTTCGGCCCCAACGGCGACTACGAACTCCCGATTACTTAGAGCTCACTGGTCTTCAGACCGGCGCAAAGATTCTAATGGAATGAGGCTGGAAACACATCGGCGAACATCAACTGGGTGGGAAGTGAGCCACTCAGGGCTGCGCTTGCCGAGGTGTTTCCAAGGCGAACGCCAGCTGCTGCGCAACAAGAAGGCATCTTGGCACTGGCTGAAGAAAGGGCATCGCGAAGCAAACATCACCTTGGACAACGGATGTAGGGCGGGCACGACAGTGGGGACGACTCGGGGACCCACTCTCCTCCAACATATTTAGCATCACCTACTCGAGCCCCTCAGATGCTAGCTCGTGTAGCTAGCCCCCGACAAGCAGAGCACCATTTGTTGAACCCGACAAGCAGACCCGTACCAAAGGGCTCTCTCCCGTACCCGTCGCTCTGCTCGGACGGGTCAGTGTGATTTGGCGTGTGCTGCATTCTCCACCCATCGTCGTTTCAGAAAGATGACTGTTTATCCAATCCTCCCACTAGACTATCTCTCACCCATTGATTTGATTGCGTTCTGGTCTTTTTCCTGCTGGTTCCCCATTGAGGCCGTTCTTTGGGCGATCCCCCCAAGAAACGACCCAGCGTGCTGCAGGTCACGATCCGCATCTTGGCACAGATGGCCAATGTCGTCGAAGGCGCGGTGGCAGCGTCGTCGCGGTGGAGTCTCAGCGTTGGACCCGGCGACAGTCGGGTGTGTTGGGTCCCCTTGGGGGTACCGTCAATTGGTGTCAACACGGTTGGATGAGTTGAATGGAGCAAGAATGGGCGCTTTGTTTGTTCTCTCCCAACTCATTGGCCCTGATCCAGTGATGTTCATGGTATATGCTGGTCTACGTTTCACAATGCTTGTTTCCGCCCCTTTGTTTCCAAATCCCTGTTTAAAGTGGGAAGCTACAATGTCAATTTTGCACAGCACTGTTGAGTGGGTATCTACATCATACTCGCACATCACATCACGATAAACTTCATGTATCTGGGCAAGATGCCATTTTGATGATGCTTGATGGCATGTCCAGGACTACACTAGACCAGAAAACCAGCTCGAAAACCGGCTAGACCGTCGACCTTTTTCCTGTACACGGAGGGTTTCAAAGAGATCTCGGTTTCGGAGGCGTCCTGAACAGTGTCCAATCAGCTTTCCCCCGTCTCTCAGATCCGTGGGCCGTGGGCCGTGGGCCGTTGCAACGGTGCCGTCGGGCGCGGTCGGGACCGGAGGTCTTGGGACTGGCGAAGGGCACACACGGGACGGGCACACGGGCTGGGGCATTGCGTGGCTAGCCTATGTATCTTCGCATCTTCACGGCTGTACCCCCAAGAATGGATGGCCTGCATGCCCGATGGAAGGCATCCCAACAACCTCCGCAACAAACTCCCCGAACGCCAAACAGTGTACGTACCATGGTTTTTCCATGCTGCCAGGCAACCCCTCATGGCCTCCAACCTACTAGCGATGGCCTCCAACCTCGTAGCGATGGCTCTCCCAGGAGGTCCTTGCCGAAGAGTTCCAGCCCCTCTTCGCCCTTCCCGCGCCTTAGGCCGCTCCAGCTACCAGGGCCGCGTGCGGAAGATGCGATCTCTCACAGAGCTAGCCGAGGAAGAGGTGCGGTCCATGTTTTTGGAAAGTGACCATGACATGCCGAGCGACTGTTGTGAACTTCTGCGATCAGCGCGCTGCTGATCGCCGAAGGGACCGAAGTGGCGGTCAAACCCACAAGTGCTTTGGGACAGATTTTGATCCAATAGGAGGAACTCAGCTGAAGTGACACACACACACAGAGAGACAATGAAATATTTTTATTTTATAAATACTTCTTCATAGCAGACCGCCACACATTGGCCTTATTTGACACACGTTGCTTCTGCTCCAAATTCCTTTCGAGAGTGTTTGTTCAGGATGTAGAAGATGTCGAAGTTGCCTGAAAACCCTTGGTCCTTTCATCACGACTGTGACGAACGCATATTGCAAAGGTCTCTTTTGTCCTTCCCTAGCAACCAGATCTATCAAATCCTTGGTTGTGTTTTTTGGGGTGGGTGACTGCACATCAGCTAGGGCAAAAGGATGCGATCAAGTAGTTGCACCGATCACGGTTATTTGTAGTATCAGAATGCCCCTATTCCTACCCAGACGCTCCATAGGACTGCCATATATGTATAACCTCCGGCCAGGCGAAGATGTGGGACATGTCTTTGGTGCAGAAGGGGCAGAGATTTTTAGACAATCAGGACGGGGACCACTACCAGTGAGGACGGGTTTTTGATGGTTTTTGGGTTTGGTTTTGTATATATAGGTCGATTTCATTTTGTTTTTTTTAAATAATGCTTGTTGATTTCCATACTGTAATATATATAGTACAGTACGATATCTATCACCTGGAGTGTTGGGGAAGTGGTTCCCCTACTGCATATGAACGATGAACAGTAGGTGAACATGCTTTACAGTATATAAAGTGGCATAGTGGCTAACTCTGTTTCGTAAAGAAGCGGAGGAAGTGAGACTGAATCGGTTGCCGCGATGCTGGATTGATCTTAGTTCTTAGAGGAGATTATCAGGCTTTTGTCAGATGAATATAGATTGAACATGGTTGAACTGCCATTCTCGTGTGGCGTCGTTTCGGCATGTTATGGGCTTGACGAATAAAATTGTTAATCGGTTTAAACAGGTCAAGATGGACTGAAGGTTGCTGCTTGTAGCTTGCGCAGGGTAGCAAGCATGAAATTCGTGCGAATGGTCCTTGTCCAGCCTTTGGGACTGCCAAACGTGTGAATGCGGACTGCCAAACGGTTGTATCAGATGTCCAGTAACAATCTCCGCTGTCCAAACGTAGTATATAAATTACATCGAAGTTGAGCCTGTCACTACATACCAGGGTGCAGGAAAAGGACCAATGGTCCACCAATGTTTTGTATCCATTTGTATCCCGACATTTCTCCCCGTCGCATTGCTGGGACTGACCCAATGATAGATGTTCACAGTGGTTTCAGATGGGGGTCCGTATAAACTACCTCTTGAGGTCTGTGCCATCTACTCTCAACCCACTATAATTCAGATGTTTAATAATTCAATGATGTCCTTGAGTCTTGAGGCTGTCCTGTTCCAAATCGCGTGGGCGGTAGTTTTTACTCCTGTGATATATAGACATAATCTTGTAAGGAACTTTCAGTGAGTTTATGTGAGTTTCTAGAGCGGCCCAACCCGAGGAGTGGGATGATCGTTGTGCTCAAGCCCAGAACTTTGTGAGTGCCGGTGGACCTGGCTGGGTGCAGGCGCGTGCCTGGCCGGTTGCCGCCAGAGTCTTAAACTGGCTAGGAGTGACGTGTATCCAGATGAAAGAGCTGCAAAGACCCGCCGTGGTATAGGACAAAGCTGGGAAAATGTATGTTTTCTCCGCCTAAAGCCAACTTGATTCAAGCATTCCCATGGTGCACACCCAGCTAAGCATCCGAGGGATACTCGAGGGATGGGGTTGGGAAGTGTCATCCGGGACCTCCTCCAGACTGCTGAGGGACCCAACCTTCCCCTTCGGTTTTCTGGAATGTTCAAACACCAAGACCCATCGTTTGGGTGAATGAGAACGAGAACCCCTCTTGGCACCGAACCACAGAAATTCATGAGTGGGACAAGCTGACTAAGATGCCAAGAGATGCCAAGAGAAGGTAGCAGTGAAAGGTTTCTTCTTCTGGTGAACTGATCCTCCTGTGCAAGGAATTTGCTAGGGCCTCCCCGAGGGTTTGGGGTGAGCCCTAGGTTTGAGCTGGGTCCCCATGAGGTACTGGATGATTTTGGTGTCGAGTGTTTACGATAGGGCGAATGTTTGCTAGGCCGCAGCTCAGAGGGCAAAAGAAGGAATCAAAAGGATAAGAAGCAAAAGGCTACCCTAGCACCAAAAATGCTTGGCTTGGAGCACCACCATGAAAGAAAACAATAGAAAACACATTCAACTTGATCAGTAACTTGATCTTGAATGACGTTTGGAGGGTTGAGTTATTGCAGTTCCCCCAAAAAATCAAACAATGTTTGTGTTCTTTTGTTGCCCAGTTGTTGGACCTCACGCACGCTCGTTCCGCGCACCCGCGCACCCGCAACCGGAGGAGTTCTTGTTGGACCTGGCCGCCGGCGAGCGAGAGGAGTACTACCTGGACCAGTACGGCAAGGCCCGGCGCGAGGGACGAGGGACGAGTCGCTGAGAACGAGAGGGGGGCGAGGATCCGATCTCCATTCAAGTCATCTACAGTATCCACTAGGTCACTAGGTCACTAGGATCCATTGGTTGGTCCATCCATTCATGTCCATTCCATCTTCTCCCTTCTACCAGATCTCTGACAAGCCGGACATGATCTTGCTGGAAGTCGAAGCCTGGCGAGCCAACCGCGGGGATGGTGCTGGCCGCGGCCCCATCGGCAGCTGGGCCGCAAAGAGGGAGGGGCGAAGCGGCGAAGCGATAAACGAAGGAGATGAAGCTCTACCCACAAAAAGTGGACTACCTGCAAAACAGTGCAAAACCCTTTTTTGGGGGGGATTTGGTTTCCCCACTCCAATCCAACGAGGTTGAACAAGGCTGACCATGGCTTATGGTTACCATGTTTTAGACGTTTTTTTCCGGGGCAAAACCGCCTGGGTGTCAGCAAGTCTCCAGAGGCTCCCTCATTCGGCCGATCCAGTGGCCCTACTCGAGAGGTGGCTCCCCACGGGTTCAGTGGCCCTTTTTGTCGTCGATGTTTGTTGACCCAGCTGCTACCCCAAGTGAGAAAACATATAAGTGACCTGAATCAAGTTGATTGACCATCTGAGTCACTAGAGTTCTGATTGCCATAATGTATGTTTTTGATTGTATTGTTGAATCAAGTTGAGTTTTAGATCATGTAAGTGCAAGTCACTAGTGCAAGACTTCTGATTGCCATTGATGGCCCACACAGGTCACATTCTGTGCTCGTCCCTCGTCGCTTACACATGTCCAAGTGGACCCAGGCCAGACTTAAGCCCAAGTGACTCTCAAAAGCAACTTTGCTTTTTCAATCCTTTTAAAGGAGGGGATTCTTAATAAGGGCGTGGGCCATTGGGAAACAAACCAGGAGCTGAGTGCAGAGCTGGGCCATTCTGTCCAACTGGGCCATGCGCGAACCTGCAACATTCTGACAACCCAACCAAAACCCAGCACAACAGTAGTTCCTTCTCACTTCCCAACCTGGAACCGATGGTACGACCCCTAGCTTGGGCGCAGCCAACCCGTCGCAGGGCCTTCGCCCAACATCGCCCAACTAGTCGCCCCGGGCTGTTTGGATACTTTCACTCCCGCTGTTCCTGCGAGCGGTTTAAGGAGATGAAGCACAAGAGGTGGACATGATCCATGGCTGAGAAGCATTTTCTTTTGTGCTATTCATTGCTTGCTACATCGGCCTTGACAGCATGGGCATGGGATTCCTGCTGAAGAAGGGGTGCTAACTGCTAATTTACATGTTATATAGGGGCCCCTATAGATCCTATAGGTGGACTACTAAGTTCCTTTTTTTCGTTCTAAAGCGACATTGATATTGATATGCAACGTTATGTTGTGCATTATTTTGCACAAGGGAGGCCGGGGGCATGTTGTATAATTAAGTGTGTGTGATGGTGCATGTATTTGTTAGACTTATAGCCACATTCGGCACGCTCAAGTCTAAGTGCAAAATAACACGTCCTTTATGATCAGTTTGATACTAAGCACTCTTTCATGGTCAGTTTTTAAATATACTTTTGAAGACTGTCATCATAAGTGTTCTACAACAAGTTAGACAAAAGGAGTGTAGTAGAATGCATCCGGCTATATATTTCAATTAGCCCGATCATAGACACGCATGAGGGGAGAGGACGACCGCAACGAGTACGAGAAGGCCGCTGGAAAGGAGGTGCTGATGATTGCCATGCAGCGGGATGAGGCTCTTGTGTGTGGGGAGGCAGTGTTGTGTGTCTTGTGCCGTGGCACGCGTGCCATCCTCTCATTTCAGCCCAGTCCCATGGCCTGAAGTAAGAGTTTCGGGGAATGATCGCAACGAGTGTTTCGCGAATGGACGAGCTGGGAGACATGCTAAGGGTTTCATGTATCTTCGTGGGCAGGCCATCTATCTCGGTTTTGCGTGCGATCGATCCGGTTCGCGAACGCATCGAAACGAGATTTTGAGACCAAGGCCACCAGCAATCCAAACACTTAAGCTGGTTTTCCAGTTCCTTTTATTGAACCGTTGCTGAAGATCCTGGCTAGCCAGCCCGTGGACATCCTGTCCACCAAATTCTCAGGAAAGACACGAGCGGAAGGTCGGATGACGATCTTCCCGCAGGAAGAGATCGAGGACGATCAGAGTGCCTTGTTTGCCGAACGCCCCGACAGCCTGAAGCTGGATGAGGACGCATGCTCCTGTGGTTGGTTTCTAAGTAGCAGTTTACGAGTCAACAAGAGTTTGTTGTTGTTTTTTCCCGAATGCGTAGCGAAGGGTTCCCGTTTATAGTTGGGGGTCTGGGGGTTGGAGCTGTGTTCGCGTGGCGTGCGTCGTGTCGTCGTTTGTCGTCGTCGTCGCGTCTCAAATTTGCTGCCATTGGGGGAAGCTTTTGCAAGTGACTTTTCATGGATGTGTCACGTGTCAGTTTGCGCCGCTATTCCATTGTGATTTGCATGACACCGACATGTCGCGTAAGAAACGTGATGCGTTTCGCTGCACAGGTGCAGCGTTTTGTGAGATCCGCAGTTTGCCGCGCAGTTCCATTGGGATTTAGCGTTTGGAGAGTCGTGTTTTTGGGGTGTTGGATGTGGCCGTGCCATTGGGATTTGCGTTTCAGGGTGTGGCGTGGAAGCTCGGTTTTCGTGACAAGTCTCAGCTGAAATGGCGATTTTGGTGGATGGGAGTGTGCTCAGAACGGATCGAAATCATTCCAAACGTGTGGTGTGGTGCAAATTTTGTTGAAGCTCACATGAGATGATATTGTCACTTTTCGTGGCAGGCGCAGGACTTCCTGCGGTTTTTGAGGCGTGGAAGTGCGATTCTCGTGGCAGGCGCAGGGAATCGTGAGGTTGCGAGGTGTCAGGGAGGTGAAATCTCGTGGCAGGCGCAGGACTTTGTGCGCGTTAGACGTGTGGATGGGGAAAGATTCGTGGCAGGCGCAGGGAATCGTGAGGTTGTGAATTGTGGTAGAGGTGAACGCCGCTGTCACATTGGGATTGGCGTGTGAGTGGGTGTTGTTTGGAGGAGCTGGAATCGCGAAACTGCTTGGCAGGGCTGCGTGATGTGTGTGCTCCGATGGGTGTTTCCGCTTGACTTTTGGAGGAAGTCTCGTACGAAACGCTCGTTTTGGAGACTTGACGTGTGAGTTTTGGAGGAAGTCTCGAACGAAATGCTCTTTTTGGAGACTTGACCTGTGAGTTTTTGAGGAAGTCTCGTACCAAACGCTCGTTTTGGAGACTTGACGTGTGAGTTTTTGAGGAAGTCTCGTACGAAATGCTCTTTTTGGAGACTTGACGTGTGAGCTGGAAGCTGAGAACTGGCGACTTTGTGGTACAACTTTAGTGCGCGGAGTGTCCTGCAAGTGACTACAAGAGTGTCCTACAAGAGTGTCCTACAAGAGCGTCCTACAAGAGTGTCCCACAAGAGTGTCCCACAAGAGTGTCCCACAAGAGTGTTCACAAGAGTGTCTGTCCCACAAGAGTGTCCTACAAGAGTGTCCCAGAAGAGTGTCCTACAAGAGTGTCCCACAAGAGTGTCCTACAAGAGTGTCCCACAAGAGTGTCCTACAAGATTGTCCCACAAGAGTGTCCTACAAGAGTGTCCCAGAAGAGTGTCCCACAAGAGTGTCCTACAAGAGTGTGCTACAAGAGTGTCCCAGAAGAGTGTCCCACAAGAGTGTCCTACAAGAGTGTCCCACAAGAGTGTCCTACAAGATTGTCCCACACGAGTGTCCTACAAGAGTGTCCCAGAAGAGTGTCCCACAAGAGTGTCCTACAAGAGTGTCCCACAAGAGTGTCCTACAAGAGTGCCCCACAAGAGTTTCCTACAGGATTTTCCTGAAAGAGTGTCCCACAAAAGTGTCCCACAAGAGTGTCTCACAAGAGTGTCCCACAAGAGTGTCCTACAAGAGCGTCTCACAAGAGTGTCCCACAAGAGTGTCCTACAAGAGCGTCCTACAAGAGTGTCCCAAGAGTGTCCCACAAGAGTGTCCCACAAGAGTGTCTCACAAGAGTGTCCCACAAGAGTGTCCTACAAGAGTGTCCTACAAGAGTGTCCCACAAGAGTGTCCTACAAGAGTGTCCCACAAGAGTGTCCTACAAGAGTGTCACAAAAGATTGTCTCACAAGAGTGACCCGCAAGAGTGTCCTACAAGAGTGTCCTACAAGAGTGTCTCACAAGAGTGTCCCACAAGAGTGTCCCACAAGAGTGACCCACAAGAGTGTCTCACAAGAGTGTCCCACAAGAGTGTCCTACAAGAATGTCCCACAAGAGTGTCCCACAAGAGTGTCTCACAAGAGCGTCCCACAAGAGTGTCTCAGAAGAGTGTCCCACAAGAGTGTCCCAGAAGAGTGTCCCACAAGAGTGTCTTACAAGAGTGTCCCACAAGAGTGTCCTACAAGAGTGTCCTACAAGAGTGTCCCACAAGAGTGTTCACAATGTCCTATAAGAGTGTCTCGCAAGAGTGTCCTACAAGAGTGTCCCACAAGAGTGTCCCACAAGAGTGTCTCACAAGAGCGTCTCACAAGAGTGTCTCACAAGAGTGTCCCACAAGAGTGTCCCAGAAGAGTGTCCCAGAAGAGTGTCCCACAAGAGTGTCCTACAAGAGTGTCATGTGGACCTGTGTAGTTTTTCGAACGTGTTTACATTCGGGTTCGTGGGTTCCATCTTGTTTTTTTAAATGATGCATGTCGATGCAACAACCTTGTTTGGAGACCCGCCCCACCTTGTATTTGATTGAACCTTGTACTTGTACATATTTTGTGCAACCGACTTGCGGGATGAGTACGTTCGATCTATGCATATTTGGATATATATATATATAACATGTATCTACTCGTATGTTGTATGCCCTTTCACAGCCCAGGCTTCTTTTTCTTCAGAACTCCCACCCCTTTTTGTTCGTCTCTTCACGCCTTCTTCGTGTCCCGGGCCGAAGTCAGGAGATCTTCCATGACTTGAAGACAGGCCGAGTCCGAAAAAAAACAACGAATGGG